CCAATCAGATTTAAGATTTTGCTTCCATTTCATCCTTTAGTAAACCATACACTCCGTTTCACTACGTTCCTGGTATTCGTGTAACGGTTTATTGATTACGTCGATCACGTCGATCACGTGATATAGGGGTGCACCGTGGTGCAGGTGCACCAAAAAATAAAATCCTAAATCATTATACAAAATATATAAAAACAAAAAAAAAAAACTTTATTATGTTTAATATAAGGATATAACTCAGGTTGGGATATAACCCAGTGGAATACAGGTATGATTGTAAATGTTCCTAAATCCGCACAATCAGATAACATTCGAGTAGTAAAATTTGGTCAATGATATGTCATATAGCCCAAATTACAATCTATCCAAATTATAAATTTATTTTAGCCCAGACATTAGGGTTAGATCAGGCCAATTTCATTTGGGCTATCCCAATTAACAATCGGAACAAAATTGTCATTTTTCAGTCATAATAATTCGGCAATTAGGTTATAATTGCATCGATAACCCAATTTATAAAATCACCTGAATATCATAATTCGTAACGACCAGTCAAAAACGTTAAAATACACTCATAGTTATAATAATTCGGTAATTATGTTATAATTGCATAGTCATAGCCTAATAATTCAATAATTATGTCATAAATGCATAGCGATAACCCAATTTATCAAATCATCTGAATATCGTATCTCGTAACGACCAATCAAAAATGTTAAAATACATAACCTTCTCACTTAAACAATATAGACAACTTATACTAAAATGGTAATGCTCAAGGCACGTAGACGTGCCAATGGAAGTGTAAATGTGGCCGTTTGAACCTGTTATAATGACATATTTGCATAATCACAAGGAAATGACTCATAGATGGGCATGTAAACGTGCCTATGGGCATATAGGCATGCCAGTAGGCGCGTAAACGCTGCCGTTGGCGTGCCAACGCACCCAAAGTTCAAAATGTATTTAAGGACCTAAAGTTATAAACGATGAAAATTGAAATTTATCGGTTCTTATTTTATATTTAAATAAATAAATCTCTCGTTCAATTTCCGATTAAATAAATACTTATCTGAATATTCCTTTGTGTATTGTCTTTTGAATTCGACTTGTAACTTTAATAAACCCTTTCGAGACTCAATTCGACGGACTGAATTGGCTTGTAACTTCGATTCGGCTTATTAAGACTCAGGTTCTGAAACGTTTGAGGAATCAATATTGCTATTCCCTTGATCATCACTCTTAACAGCATCACCCCCTCATCATCCCCTATTGATATTAAAGTATTCGCTTCGTATCGTCATATTATACAATTAGTAAACTATCTGCTGTCAACATTATTGGTAAAATAAATCAAGATGGGATTTTACAATAGCAAAATCAACAAGAATCAATCCACTTCCCTTAACGTGAGGAATTTAAATCAACAAGTAGTAATGTGTTGAATGAGAGCAATGAGAGTATTTCTAATACCAGTAACACTCATTTCGAAAAAGGTAGAATATATACTACACAAAATAAGACATATCCCTTACCTAATGACCACGAAGAGCATAGTAGATTAAATTTACAACACATCGTATTGAGATTGGTTTGGCAAAACAACTTTTTTGCACCAGTTGAACATCTCCTTAATCAAGAAGACGCAAAGGTTCTTGACGTAGGGTAAGTCATTTCATAATAATGATAATCAAATAACAAACTATATCGTGACGTTTAACATCGAACAATATAGTGTGTCAAGAGTTAAATTTAAGATTAAGATAGAGCATAATTGATATCAAAGTTTTGAATGTATATAAAAGATTTCATATTACAGAAATTTATATTTTGACATGTAAAAATGTCAATAACAATGATTAAAGCTGTTCTAATAAATTATTTTAGAACAGGCACAGGTTCTTGGATGCTCGATATGGCAGCCAGTTATTCAAAAGCAAAATTTATCGGTATTGATATTTCGCCTGTTCAACCAGGCCTTAATAAACCTAAAAATGTTGAATTTGTGGAAGCAAATGTATTAGAACGTTTACCATTTGATGATAATACATTCGATTATGTATTTCAACGACTATTAATTTTAGCAATTCCTGCAAATAAGTTATTAATGAGCTAGTCCGGGTATTAAAACCTGGTGGCTATTTAGAGGTTGGCATTATTTATATTAAATACATTAGTGAAATTTATTAACTATTAATATTAGATCATATATATATATTTTTTTTTAGCTTATGGAAGTTGACATTCAATATAAAAATATGGGGTCTGCAACAAAAAAGGTCGTTAATGGCTGTAAGGATCATATTAATTCGTTCGTCAAAAGATGGAATTTATAATATTCTAAACTTTATATATGCTTTTTAGTAATAACTATGTCTCGTGAACGTGGTATAGATCCACGCACATGTTATAAATTGCAAGGTTATTTAGAAGAACATAATCAACTTTGTAATATTCACTGTGAAATAAAAGAAAGTCTTAATGTAGATAAATTGGTATGTGCAAGTTTTAATATAATCACTCAACATTTATTGTACATCAATCAAAAAATTTTGATAATTTATATGTTATACTTAGCGGATTAAAAATTATTCTGATTTCCTCATGTGTTTAAAACCAAAACTTATGAATATAATTAAAGTATCTAGTGTTGAATATGATGATTTAGTTAAAACTGTAGAAAAAGAATTATCTGAATTCGATTGTTATTTTCCTCATGCACGTGCCTATGCTCAAAAAAAAATTAGTTTAAAACTGGGGCTTGAAATATTAAGTGGAGTTAAAAGTACAATTAAATTAATTAGTAAATATTATGAGTGTGCATGTAAAAATCACAAGAAAAAAAAAAATCGAAAATTTAAGATTACATAATTCGTGTACTGTAATTAAAAATAATAAAATAAATAAAGTACTTAAGTATAAATTTTTTTTATAACCATAAGATTTTATTTAGTATCAGTTACCCGATCAAAACTAATCGTGAAAACGAAAACTGTTTTAAATGTTTAGCTAATTCTGTAATTAAACATTACCAAATACAGTCAGGGATTTTACCCGATATAGGGGATGGCTAAAGCCATGTACCCACGTGATTTTGACGTTTTAATCAGTCTAATTAAAATTAAGGGTAGGATTAGGGTTAGTTGGGTGTTGACATACGAAGAGGGATAGAGGTAAAATTGCTTTTCCGACATTTTTAAATAGTGCCCCAAGACAGGTTTAGGCTGCCGTTTTTTGATTCTTCGGGCTGATCCGTGTAAACAAAATTTCGCAATTCCGGTTGGTTGATTTACTAAACAAATACAAGCATTAATACAGTAGCTACTATAAACTTCTAAAAAGCTAGAACGTAAAAAACTAATAACAGACTACTATTTAATACAACCAAGTAGAAAAATAAAAATACAGTATAAATAAAATAATTACCTATCAATAACCAGAAATAAAAATAACTACAAAGTATATACAAGCAAAATATATATTACTAAAATTAGCAGTACAAATGTATTATAAACTAGAATCTGAATTTTTATATTATTAATATTATAAAAACTATCTAATTACCAATATCAAGAAGAAAATAAAAAATAATTATAAAACTACAAAAAGATTTATAAAGCTAATAAACTAAATTCAAACAAATTAAAAAATGTAGATATATATTAGAATTAAATAATTAAAATAAAAACCAATCAATAATTAGTAATAACAATAACTTTTATAAATATCATTAAACCAAAATACTATTTGAGCAATAAATTGACTCTAAACAAATATAGATTACTTTTGTTAATAATATTCTATTTTGAATTAGACAATTATATTAATATATATAAGAGTTAATAATAGCAAAATAGTTTCTATATAGCTAGATCTATTTTTTCTTAATAAAAGATTAACAATAGAAGTTAATATTAATAAATTAATATTAATAGAGATAATTTGTATTTAATATATTTTGACAAACTAATACAATTAATATTAAACAATAGTTAACTTAAAATAATAGCAATAACAAAAACTTTTATTAAATTAAAAATACAAATTACAAATAATAATACTAGAAGTATTAATAATAAAGTATCTACCAAATATCATTTATTTATTTTACAATAGTAATAAGGATAAAAATATACTAGAATATATCTATATTTATCTATATCTTGTAAAAATATAAAAACAGAACTAATAGTAACAAAAAACAAAAGATTATAACTATTAGAACTAGTACAATTATAATACAAACGATACATTTAAATCTAATAACAGATAAACAACAAAAGTTGAATAAAATATTTAACAAAATAATATTAGACTATATAAATTTAATATTTTGGTTTTTATAATATAAAATCTTTAAACAGACCCGGCTAGCCAGCTTTTTTTTAAAAAATTTTATATATAAAAATAAAAGTTTGCTATTTATTACTACTGGTGATTATCACCGGTACATAATTAGCCAATTAATTTGCAAGATCAGGTGTAATGTGCAGATCAGTTTCATGTAACAAAACAAAGAATTTTTTAAAAATCAATTGAATCTTAAAATTTTGTTTATGAAACCATCTTCCGGGCTCTAACAAAAAAAAATTCCTTGCAAAATTTTACTATAGATTTTGTTTAACTTTATTATCAAATCATTACCCTTACCCTAATATCAAAACAAATAAACTTTGTTTAAAAAGTTTACATGTTACATCTAATTATATATTGTAAATCACCAGTAATGATCACTAGTAGTGATTTGTAGTAATTTTTATAAAAATATTATAAAATTTTTTTAAAAAATTTTTAAAATTGATGTAGTAATATAGCGAAGTGTCAAGTTGTCACTCCTCCAAGCAGCAGATCAAGAGTTCAAATTTTACTGGTAACAAAAATTTTAAAATTCTGTTTGTATTACACTAATTATATTTGATCAATTAGTTAAGATAAGATATCTATAACTATAGTTACATGAACAAGACTAGAAAGTCTAGAATATTCATATAATATATAAGTTATATAAAGGTATACAAGTTGGTATTAGTCAGTACAAACTCATAATAAGTTCTTGGGCTATATAAATCTAGAGAATTGCAAATTTAGAAGCTTGCTTTGCAAGTTTTGAGTAAAGAGTAGCATAAATTTTTGATAAAGCTACTGTGAAAATTAGACTCAGAAAACAGAACCTATATAAACTGAACTAGATAAAGGATAGAGTATTGGGGTATATCTACACCAACCAGGTTATTGCAAATAGAAAAGAAAACTGGTTTATATGTACCAAATTGAAGCACAGGCTAGATGTAGTAAGAGTAAAAATATTGCAGACTTTGCCAAATTTACTTTAAAGATAAAAAACTAGAAGTAGATTATTAAGAGATGAAAATCTGCTTTAAAGTTCTAAGTCATTATATAAATATATGCTAGGAAGACCAGTTTATAAAACTAAAAAAATGGTTGTTAATTAATATAGATCTCAAAGTACAAAGATCAAAAAGTTGAGATAGGTAACCCATAGACAAATTACAAATATAGCAACTAGTGTAGAATCTAGTAATAGGCAGACTATTTAAATAGGTATTCAAAAGATGCAAGTATAGCTAATGTACCCTTCAAATATATATAATAACTATCCTAATACAATAAAGTATACTTAACCAAGAGATCACCTTAATACCAAATAAAAAAAATTTTAAAATTTCATCTAGTTATTAAAATATATAAAAAAATTTTTTACAAGTTTTTCAAATTTTAATCTAACTAGATTATAAAATTAATTAATTAATTTTGTATAGCTTTATATAATTAAATCAAAAAAAATAATTAAACTAACTACTAATTATAATAATTCTGACTATAAATCTGACCAAAACCTTTTATAACTATATACTAATAATAAAATTTAACAAATTAAAACTAAATAAACAATTTCAAATTATATTAATTATAAAACTCTTATTATAGTATAATAGTAAATTAATACAATATTACAAACAAAAAATATCTAAGCTTTATAATATAAAAATTAAAATTATACAAAGTGAATAATATCTGTATATATTTTTAAAAAAATATAAAAATAAAATTTAAAATATGCTAAAAAACTTTTATATATATCAACTAGCTTAAGAATCTATATATTTTTATATACAGTATCAGATATTTAATTATTATATTAAATAACAAAAAAGTATAATAATATATCTATTCAAAAAATAATTAAAACCTAATATATAGCTAATAGCAACTATATTGTTAACCAAATAATCTATATTATAAAATATTAAAAACCTGGCCAATTTTTAAATTTATTGATTATTAATTTTCTTTTTTTTTTTTTAAGATGAGGTTTTGCCTTTATCTTTATTTACAGTACTAGACAAAAGTAATTCCGCACCTATATCTTATCACTGTGAGGTCCTAGAGCCTTGAAACTTTACAAAAATTTAGTAAATAGTTAGCCTAGATTGTGTATTATTTTGGTAATTTTTCAATCACTAGAAAATTTTTTAGATGAGAGCTAAAGTTTAACGTAATTTTTTTTAAAAAAAATAAAAAAATTATGTTAAACTTT